CCACCTTTTGAATTTTCCTGTTTTTGCTTCATTCCTGCTCATTAGATCTCCATACCAGTCGATGACATCAGATGTGATTTCACAGCGAATGTCAATCGACTGTACTGACTCCCTTTCAGCAAGAATGTTTCATCCTTCCTTCTAAACATTATTCATCACTGTATAAAAGCACATCACAACAGGACGGTTTACTTTAATTTATCACATCAAACAATAGGTTACCACAACAAAACCATAGCTTACCACATCTTACCATATGGTAATAAGTAAAACACAACAGGAGTTATGGTTTAATCCATTCTTTAACAACAAACCATAGCTTACCACATCATACCATATGGTATTAAAATAAAACAAAACAGGGCTTGTGCATTACTACATTTTGTAACATTAAACCATAGATTTATCTAATCTACCATAGCTTACCACATCTTACCATATGGTATGAAACCAAAAACAAAACTGGAATTGTGGATTACTACATTTTGTATGATTAAACCATAGATTTATCTAATTTACCATATCTTACCATATTTTACCATATGGTAACAAACTAGATCACTACAGTAACATCATATAATAGTAGAAGTTTTAAGATGATGACTTACCTCTTGACAAATTTCTGTTTTTGCATCTTATGTACTCCAGGATGTTGCTGAACATATCATCAGGTGTTTGTGTTGGTGTTGACCATTCAACTGGTGATCTTTGTGATTGTGGAGCATCTGGTTCAACAGTTGGAGTATTCAGGTCCTCTAGGTAAGCATCTATGCATTCACGCACTTCCTTGAGCTTCTCTTGGCTGTTTGTGTACAGATTTGACCATATAGCATATGACTCCTTCTATGACTGGGTGCTTTGTGGCTGTGCTGGTGGTGGTGTCCTCTTGCCTTCTTTTCGTTTCCGTGCACATTCTTCACACGATTCTTTTGGCGAGGCTCTCCTGGTGATCGGTTGCCGTGGTGGTAGTCAACTTCGTTGGTGTTGTGGTGTTTGATGGTTGAGAGGGCTGAGATCGAAGGATGGAATGTCGTCTTCCCTGTCACTTAGGCTTCTCAGCAGCTTTGGTTGTCAGTTTTGGAGCCTCTTCTCGAACAATATCATCTGACACCGTTTTCTCGCTGTCAGTTTCTGTAGTCTTTTATGCAGCTTGTCCTGTATTCCCTCTTCTGTTGTTTCCTTATCAACATCCATTGGATCTGCTATTTTGGTAGCTCCTTTTTCTTCTGTTCTTTTGCAGATGTCTGTTCTGGAACTGCTTTCGGGGTGTCCCCTTGTTGTGGGTTCCTGATTCAGACCTTCTTGAACAGATTGTGCTGGTGGTCTGTGCAACTTCCCCAGTGATCTCCTTCTTGGATGCTTCCCCTATTCACAGCTCCTGGAGCTGAATCATCTTGCTCCTTTTCTTTTGCCTTCGGTGTAGATGCAGCAAGATCGACTGTAGATGGTTGTGAATCATCTTCTTTCTGTGTTTGCTCCTCGTTCTCCTCTTTGTTCTGGTCTATCTTTGCCTGTTTGAATATTTCATTGAGTGTTTTATCCAAACTGGCATTCATTTCTTCATCATCTCTTCTTCATCGTCTTCACACTGAGATTTTTCTCCTTCTGTTGGCTGAACATTTTCATCACAGCTTTCTTTCGCAAGATTCTCCTTGTGTCTGATCAGATTGTCAATTTGGCTTTTGTACTGGTCTTTGATTGCTTTCATCATTGCCTTCATTGATGCTTCAAGCAGTTTGATTGCATTCTCAGCCTGCATAATAGGAGTTTTTGTAAGATACCATGTTGGTAATGGTGTATGGTGTATGGTTAGTTACCATGGTGGTAATACATGGTATTGGCAATTATTATCACTATTCTGCATTTTTATAACATGAAACCATATCTTACCACACCTTACCATATATGGTAACAAAGTAAAACAGAACAAGAATCATGGTTTCCTCCATTTTATAACATGAAACCATAGCTACCACACCTTACCATATGGTAACGAAGTAAAACACAACAGGACTTATGTTTTCCTCCATTTTTATAACATGAAACAATAGCTTACCACACTTTACCATATGGTAACAAACTAAAACACAACAGGACTTATGGTTTCCTCCATTTTTATAACATGAAACCATATCTTACCACACCTTACCATGGTAACAAACTAAAACACAGATGGACTTACGGTTAGCATGAATTGGACAACTGTAATATAGATAATTTGTACTTACTTGGTTGACTGTTCTGATATTCTTCAAATCAAAGTTCAGTGATGATGACTGGTCTGGACTTTTGTTTCTTTGTCTTTTCGGTGACTGATAGACCGACTCATTCTCCTCTTCCTCATCAGCTGCATCATCAGCCTCATTGTCACTAATGTTGGCAACCTTTTCGATCTCGTTCAACTCTTTTCCATTGTAGTAGCTCTTAATGTTCTCAAAGTTGCTTTCGACATTGAGATCATCATAGTAGCTTACTGTTGGAAAAAATCCCAAAGTACACACGTTCTTAAAAAAATTCCCAAAATACATAAGTTATAAAAATTTCCAAAAGTACACATGTTTGAGCATCACTGTTTTTGACAAAGGCGGTAAAGGTTATCACCGGGTTTAATAAAAACAGTGAAAATTTCACGTTTTAAACTAAAACGGTGACGACTTCACCGTCTTAGTCTTAAAACGGTGAATGCATCACCGTTTAAACTGAAACGGTGAAGTCATCACCGTTTTAATCAAAAACGGTTAGCACTTCACGTTTTAGTTGACCACGGTGAAGTCGCTGAGTGGACAGACGCGGGGTATTCCCCGCGTTAGACAAACACGGTGAATACCCCGTGTTTGTTTACGTCAGCGATCCGCGCCATTGTGCTTTCACCGTGGCCGTTAGATGCGGTGAGGGCGGATCGTGGTTTTCTTCCCACGATCCGACGCCTCACAGCACGCCACGTGGACTCGGGGAACCGTTTTTGGGTAATGCGAGGCCTTCACCGCGTTCATCAAACGCGGTGAATGCTCCCCCCTAATTACTGCGCAGCAGCTCCTCCCCCCTTCCCCCAACTATAAATACCCCTTCCCTTTCACTTTCAACTCACACCACAAACATTTCACTTCTTTCTCCCTCAATTTATCCGCTCTAGTCTCGTTCTAAGTATGCTCTGTGGTTGCGGCTAAGTCCGATCTTCCACATCAGAAAGAATACTAGAGTTTGACCCTAAAGCCCCCGTCCCGCTAAGTTCTCGTCCGTTACAAACCTAAACTCGTCGAACCTCTGTCCGGCCTACGCCAAAAAATGGACGAAGAGGCTCTTTGTGTAGGTTTTTGGTTTATGAATTTTTTTTAATCGAAACAATTTGATTTTTTGTTTTTTTTATCAAAACAATCTCTGATTTCATTACTTTTTTATAGATGGGTGCCGAGATATACGATCCTCGATTGTATATCCATTATGGCCCAAGGGATGCGAGTCTCTTAACCGATCAAGAAGCTCATCGCTCCCGTGCTATTTGGGATAACAATCCGGTAATTTTTGAGTATTCTTGCTTTATTTTATTATTTTCTAAGGTTTTATTTTGCTTTATTTAATCTAATAAATTGTTGTTTTCCCTATTTTTTTAGGAATCGCTTGTTCCCGTGGTTCATAAAGGGACCAATAACTTGCCCGCTTGGCATCCAAGGTTGGAGCCCTATATAGCGAGGACAGGTTTGGGAATGTTGCGCCATTTCTTGCGGATCGAAATCGACAACGATCTGCTTACGGCAATGGCGGAATGATGGCGTCCCGAAACCCATACGTTCCACCTTGCGGAGGGGAAATGACGATCACCCTCAAAGACGTGGCGATCATAACTGGGATGCCTATTTCTGGGGATGCCATCATTGGTCCCACGACCAAACCCGAAGGAGGTTGGGGGCCGCTCATACGTGATCGTTTGGGCTTTGACATGCCGACCACCACTCCAATTCAAGGAAGGGGGCATCCACCGTTGAATGCGGGGCAAGTGTCGGTCCCGTGGCTGGTATCTCACATCCAGCAAGAGGTGGAAATCAATGACGAGACACCGGAAGAACAAGTCGAGCGCTACGCCCGCATCTACCTCATCGGTTTGGTGGGTGGATTTTTGTTCCCCGACAAGTCCAACCGGTGGATTCAAGGCATATGATTGGATATGCTCACAGGTGAGTGGGATGCAATCGGGCAAAAGAGTTGGGGATCGGCCGTGCTAGCGAGCGTATACCGGGAGCTGTGTACTTGCTCGAAGGTTGGGGCAAAGCAAGCTGGTGCTGCGATGTTCATCCTACAACTGTGGGTATGGGAGCATCTTCCAATGTTCGCACCTCCCAACCCACGTCCATACCGGAGAAACGATGATGAGCTCAACTTTCTGCAAAATCTCCCCTACGGTGTCAAGTAAGTTTATTTCGTACTTAGCCCAATTTAAATTTTATTACATGCTTGAGCTAGATTTAAATTGAATTTATTCCGTACTTAGCCCAATTTAAATTTGATTACATGCTTAGCTAGATTTAAATTGAATTTATTCCGTACTTAGACCAATTTAATTAATTATATGCTTAGCTATATTTCAATTAAATTGATTCCGTACTTTACTTACAAGGTGGATAGGAGCAAATACGAATGACCATCAACCTGAGCATTCGTTACTGTTTTATCGTGCTGAGTTAGATAAACCATGGTGGAATCAGGTAATCATGTTTTTTGCATATTTGAACAAGTTAAATTTTGTCAATGTAAATGGTCGTTAATTTCCGAATTTTTGAATGAATATAGGTTATATGGGATCCATATCCACGTGAAGTGGTTGAGCTGCATCATCTTAGGCACCCTCTGGATCACGACACATGGTTGTGCAAGGTGCCATGATCTGCTGGCACATGGTGGAATGGCACCTACCCGATCGATGCCTGAGGCAATATCGAATGGAGCAACCAATTCCACAAGACCCGCCAGCAGGTTTCAGGGAGCTACATGCTATGGACCTCCGTCACACTGCAAAGAACTGGCAGCTAAAGCATGGATTCTACATCAACATCTGGGAGAATCGATCCCAATGGGTGGTGCAAGGGATGCCGGAGACGAGACCGATGGGCTACCACGATGGGTACATGCAGTGGTATCGGAAGTTCACCATGAGATGGGTGTCAAAGCAAGGTGCTGTGATGGGTTCGTTGGTAAGTCATCCTAATCTCCCTCATTCTAAAATATTTATTTTAAGGTTTAGTTAATTTGATATATTTTTGTGCTTTCCTTAGGTTGATGGTTTGGAACACACCAAGTACACTCTCGAAAGTGCTCCAACCATGGATGAGCGGAAGACTACTTGGTTGACCCGACTTATGAACAACTTCCTGAGTTGCACCAGAGAGCAAAGGAGGGATGTCGTGGCCTATCCTCCCGTTCCTGCCCCGGCACGACCCTCATTCCGTGATGATGCACCCATTGTGCCCCCGGTTGAGCCCCCACGAAGGAGCAAACGCAGGCCTCTGCCTACGTTCGAAGAGGTGCGTACAACTCAAGCAACCGAGCTCCCTGAACCGTTAGTACCAGTGGGCACCTACAGCGGATGCCGGTGGAGGGTCATCGAGTCGTGGAGCATCTCAGGAATGAGACACTTTCTCATGGGTTCTCTCAATTCCAACATCAGCAACAGAGCTCGATGTATCAGACCCGCAACAACAAACTCCGCAACCCCGATCATTCGTCAAGCTACCGGTCCATCTCAGCCACCACCACCACATAGTAACCCAGTTGGGGCTCGGGTCAAGAGAAATCCGCGACCAGCCGTTGAGCGAGCCCGCCAAGAAGCAGCGGCGGAGGGGGGAAGAAGGGGTCGAGGACGTCGTGGAGGACGAGGAGAAAGAGGTGGAGATGGGGGCCAAAATGAAGCAAATGAGTGAATTTATCGTTTTATCATTGTAGTGAACTATTTTTTTTTTTAACAAAAGGTAATCATATATTAGATCAAACAGATAGTTACATCCTGGAGAGCAGCCAGGTCTGAAAATCAAAGTGGCGGTACATAGCCGGGTACAGAGAGAGGGCCTTACGAGCCACTAAATGGGCTACCCTATTAGCACGCCGACCTATAAACCGAACAAAAAACCCTGCTGGCCATATAAATAATGCAGCACTTCCTCCAAGATAGCCCCAATTTTGCCATCGCTAACATTCCTCAGCCGGATCTTCTCAATGACAACCTTGGCATCCCCTCGAAACACACATAGGAAGCCCCAAATCCATGCACCAGCGAATCGCAGCCCGTAACACCAGAAGTTCAACCACCAGAGGATCATCAATGACAGGAAAACAGATCCCAGCAGTCATGATAAGCTCTCGGGATGGAGTCATTAGAACCACTCCTCCAGCAGAATGCGAACCACTCCGAACCGCCCCATCCCAACCGCAAATCACCCCCGGCACCTCACCCTGATTCAACGGACGCACCTCCTCCGTGCACTGGGCCGCATTCGTCCTATCCATCGGGAGGCTTACCCATTCCTCATATTGCTGAGTAAACTGGCGCATCAACACCTCCACTGTAAATTGCTTCCCTTCAAACACTACCCAATTACGCGACCCCCAAATACGCCAGAGGACAGCTACTATGGCCATGAATACCGCAGGACTCTGGATGAGGTTCAAAAACCTTCTTCAGAAACAGGGGAAAAGAGTGCCGTGGCAACCCTTCCCCGATATGCTCTAGCCCGCCGCACCCCAAAGGGCTCTAGCGGTCTGGCAATCCAAAAATAAGTGCTCCATAGTCTCCTCTTCCTCCCAACATATCGGGCAACGAGGATGAACCCCACCTTTCTTTCCCGTAAGGCCTCAGCAGTAGGCAAGACACGACGGAAAATCTGCCAGAGAAACACCTTTAATTTTGGCTGAATATTCGCCCCCCAAAGGGGATCCAGCTTTGACGATCCATCCAATCTACCCCCGCCCTCCAGCGCCCCCTTCTCCTATCTAGTGCGACCGCCAGATGATAAGCAGACTTCACCGAAAAAAACACCATCTGCTGTATCAAACCAAATCAGGCGATCCTCCACATTCGCACACGGAAGGGGAATAGCTTTAATATTTCGACAGGTGGCAGGATCAAACCATTGCTCCAATTTTGCGTCACACCAGCGGCCCTCTCCTTGGCAGATAAGCTCCGAGACCGGGGATCCCTCCCACCGGCAAGATTAGTGGATTATAACGAATAGGCTCAAACTGATTCTGGGGAACCCAAGTTGAGTGCAACATGGAAGCCGCACAACCATTCCCAATTTGCCAACGAAGCCCCATCTCCAGGAGATCCCTCCCATGAAGAACACTCTGCCAGCCCCAAGAAGGACGCGAGCGAGTCTTCGCATTTAGGAAGTGTCCTTGTGGGAAGTATTTCCCTTTGTAAACTTGGGCAAGCAAAGAATGGGGCTCCTGGAGGATTTGCCAGCCAATCTTAGCCAAGAGGGCTTGGTTAAATTGCTCAAACCGTCGGAATCCCATCCCCCCCTCATGTTTGCTCCTGCACATGTCCCGCCAAGCAACCCATCTGATTTTCGAATGGTTATTATCATCCCCCCACCAAAATCGGGCAACATGCCTATCGAGAAGGCGACAAAGGGCCAGAGGCAGCTTGAAACAGGACATCACATGCAAGGGCAACGCCATGGCTACCGATTTGATCAGGGTTTCTTTAGCCGCCCACGAGAGGGTTCTCCTTTTCCACCCCTGCAGTCTTTCCAAGAGTTTCTCCTCCAAGTACCGGAAGGTTTCCATTTTTGACCTGGCTATAAGGGAAGGCAATCCCAAATATTTATCGTGTACCCCAACCGCTCCTACTCCCAAAACAGCTGCCAGGAATTCTTGATCCGAACCAAGATATTGCGACTGAAGCACACCGCAGACTTCCCCAAGTTCACTCTTTGGCCACTGAGCTCTTCATATTCATTTAAAACTTCGATTAGATTCTCACATTCTCGAAGCGATCCACGCAGGAATAAATATGAGTCATCTGCGAAGAATAAATGCGAGATCCTCGGCGCTCGGGGAGCCACCTTGATCCCTGCCAGTTTCTTGTCCGAAATAGCCTTCTTGAGGAGAGCCGCAAATCCCTCTGTGCAAAGCACAAATAATAGGGGTGAGAGGGGGTCACCCTGCCGCAATCCCCTAGTTGGAGTGAAGTAACCATGGAGTACCATTCATCATCACCGAAAAAGATGTAGACCGAAGACATTCGTGAATCCAGTCCCTCCAGACAGAATTAAACCCCATCTTTCCAAAACCGTGAGGAGGAAAGTCCATTCGACTATCATAGGCCTTTTCCATGTCAACCTTAGAGCCATGTATCCTTTCTTCCCCCGTTTTTTGATCTTAAGGTAGTGCATAATTTCATGTCCAATGAGGATATTTTCCACAATCTGTCGCTCTCGAATAAAAGCATTTTGACCCGCCGAGACAATCGTAGGTAAAACAACTGCCAGTCTTTCCGCCAGAATTTTTGTTATGATCTTGTACAAATTGGCATAGGCTAATAGGTCGTAATTGGCTCATAGATTCCACATTATCCACCTTTGGGATCAGAGTGAGCCACGTATGATTGAAACTACGCAGCATTTTCCCGTCGAGAAAAACGAGCAAACGGCTTCAACCACTGACGGCCCACAATATCCCAAAAGGATTTAAAGAATTTGCCCGTAAACCCATCTGATCCCGGTGCCTGTTTCGATCCCATCGAAAAAAACATTTCTACGCACCTCCTCTGGCAGAACCACCCTAGTTAAGGCCTCATTCATAGCAGGAGTCACCTTTTGATCAATGGGTAGGGCAAAGACACGCTCTCGCATATTAGGGACCTGATATTCAGAAGAAAAGAGGTGACGATAAAAGCTCGAAGCGACCTCAGCCTTTTCCTTCTCATCAGTAACCCAATCCCCCTCTCATTTTGGAGCCTAGCTACAAAGTTTCTTTTCCGACGGGTTTTGGTTACTGTGTGGAAGTATGAGGTGTTTTTATCGCCCTTTTTGAGCCAGTGGACCCTAGACTTCTGATGCCAATAGCTCTCTTCAGCTTCCCATTGCCGATTTAATTCAATCTCCAGGTCACGAACCTCCTCCCAATTAATTGGGTGACTTTTCTTTATTCGGTCAATTTCGCCTTGAAGCGTACGGATGTTCCGAAGAGAGTTCGTGGTCCCAGCTCTACTCCAGTCATATAGCAGGTGGCGGAGCTTTTTGAGTCGTTCCCAAAGACAAAACATAGGAGTCCCCTCAATCCCCTCTTGCCAGACATAAGCAACCATGGCCCTAACCTCCGGATTCTCTGCCCACGGGCATCAAACCGAAAAAGCGGCGACACTGCCGAGCATAGGGTTTGTCAGATAATAAGAGGGCCCGATGATCAGAACCCTGATCAGTGAAGTGTTTAACCAGAGTTTCAGGAAATCGGTCTTGCCAGGCTTGGGAACAAAGGGCCCTATCCAGTCTCTCACGAATACAGGCTGCCCCCATTCTTTTTGGTCCACGTAAACGGGTCCCCTTGATACCCAGGGTCGAATAGACCGAGATCCTGAATAAGATTACGCAGTCCAAGGGCTTGTCCCACGTTCCATTGGTTCCCCCCATCTTTCTCACACTCATGGAGAGTAGTGTTAAAGTCACCAATAATTACGTAGGGATGATGGATGCCATTACAAAGACCCTGAATCTGGTTTAGCTGGTGATTCCGAACATTGACATTACAGCTGATATAAACAAAGAAAACCACGTAGGCAAAGTTCATTTCATTAATGCGAACACCAATACAAAAATTCGAATGATAAAACACCGATGCATTGACTTCGGGGGACCAAGCCACAACCAGGCCACCAGAAGCATCAATAGCATCAACAAAGAAACAACACGAGGAAAGGAAACCTAACCCCCGCATACGGCGGGCTACTACTCTCCGGCTTGATCGGGTTTCCGAAAAAAACACGATGTCCGGTTTATTAGAACGGACCAAACTGGAAGCGGATTGAAATGTGAGGGATGGCCCGATACCCGCACATTCCATGCCAGAAGCCTCATTTAATCTGGTGGGGCCACTCGAGGCTGGCTTCCTCCACCTTATCAGTTCCATCCTTTTTTCCACAAATTGCTTTTTGGGGGTTGGTACATCCGCCATATCCCCTTCAACCTCATCAAGGAGGCGTTTCTTCGTACCTCTGCCCTGTTCAATGATATTGGAACCATATTCATTTATGTCAAGACTTGAATCAATGGCAGTAGGCTGTTGTTGAGCTCTTGCACTTGGTGTTTCAATTTCAGTCATGTTCACCCCATTTCAAAAGCTCGAACCACTTGATGGACTTTGTTGGACCGGATCAGTCTCCGCAGCGTACCAGACGCCTCTGGCGACCTTCGGCGAACTTCAAAGGGCAGGGCTCCTCCTCCGAGCTCGTGTCACCCGAATCCCAACCCGCCACTGTCGCCTGCCGATTCTCCTCATCCTTTCTCACCACCAATGGTTCGTTAGCCTTAAACCCCCCTGCCAT